TCCTCACGTCCTCTTTCCTTTTCCATGAACAGGGTGCCCTGTTCCCAGACCGGAGCTGATCTGCCAGCCGGAGCCGGGGTGGGAGCTGTGGATGGTGAAGACAGATCTCTCCCGAGGCACCTGTCCAGGTAGGAGCCGAGGCCCGGCAAACGGAGGCCCTGCCGCCCTGAGGCCTTGAGGAGACCGCTGGCCGCGGGTCCCTGGGGAAGCTGCTTGCTGTGGCCTGTCTGCTGGTTTGGAAGCCTTGGAGCCCTTTGACCTGTGGGCCCTCTGACCTCATGGAGGACGGAGGTGTCCGCGCTGAGGTCTGTCTGGGGGTCAGAGTCTGGCTTGCCGATCACCATCTCCGTGCCGTAGCGAAGTTGCAGGATCTCCTCTCTTTGTGTAAGAAACCCAGCTTCTGGGTCAGACAGACTCCAGGACCTCAGGGCTCAGCATATGGCGGCTCTTTTTCTCACTCGGCAGGGCCCATGGGGTCAGCAGGGAGCTGGTCACAGGTTCTGAAGGACCCGTGTGGGTTCTGTCGTCAGTGTGTGGCTGTCGGGTTGTGCTGACATCCTTGAGCTGGCAGAGGAGAATGGTGAGAGGAGGGAGGATGTCTGTCACCGCACTCCCACAAACACCAGTTCCCCTCACATCCCACGACGAGAACTGGGCGTTTGGGCACCTGGGTGTGGGGCTGGGAAGCGGGGTGAGGCTGTCGGTGAGGAGCAGCGGCTTTGGTGAGTGCAGTCTGCGACAGTCAGTCTGTCCCTGGAAGATGCTGGTAGTGGTGTCTCTGTTGTCAGGCTGTTTGGGGATGTAATCACATATTGCATTAATGCATAAAACTGCAGAGCACCGCATCTGAGCATAGTGGCTCATGGTCGTGGCCTGTTATCATGAGTGACGGGTCTCACATTTCCCGCTGAACTCTGAGGAAAGGGCCTTCTTTCTCTCCAGCTGTGCTCTGCCTGCCCCCGTCCACCTTCTTCACCCGCCCATCCTCTGGTCAGTCAGCAACACGGGCTCTCCCTGTTCCTGCCCCTCCCTTTAGGGTAAGGAGGTTTCAATGACAGATCAGCAAACAATTTCCAAGAATAGACAAAGTATCTGATTAGCTCATCAATAGATTTCCGGGAGTAGGCAGAGTATCTGATTAACAATAATCAACAAGGATCTACATAAGTATCTAAGGAATTAAGGGAACTAAGGTGGGGATGCTTCAACTATTATTACCTAAATTAACTGAGTGGTTCACAGCCCTGACCTTTGTTAGGACTTTCAAGCCCTGACCTTTACTAGGACTTTCAATGACTACTAGCTTTTGGGGGGTCTCTGTCTAAACTCAGCTAGTGAAGACAATGAATGGACTCCGGCAAACCTCAATGACATTGACCTTCTCTGCCCCACCTGGGAGCTGTGGAGGGCACTGGGGCATCACGTGTGGGCTTGGTGCCCCTGCAGTCATTTCTGTTGGTCCCTTGGGCTGCTCAGCCAGACTTTGAGTCTGTCTGCAGCTCGTGGCAGCCCCTCCGCGTCGGTGCCAAGCCTCTGCCCCCCCTTCAGTCCCACATCTCCCCTTGGCAGCCTCAGAGGCACCAGAGTCAACGTTCCTGGCAAGGAACCCATGGCGTTGCCCACTCCTCTCGCCTCCCAGTTTCAGCGAGTGCTGCTGCCAGTGAGGCAGGTTAGAAACTAGATACGGCCTCCGAATGACTCACCCTCCACCGCCATCATTCCTACCCTAGCCGTGCCCAGTCCTGTTCATTCCGTCACATTCATCCCCTGAATCTATCACTAATAACTCACCCCTTCGCCATCATTCCTACCCCAGCCATCCCTGGGCCTGTTCATTCCCGTCACTGCAGCCCCTCCATCAGACCCGTCCCACCCTCAGTTTCAGCTCATCCTCTGGCCCCGGGCGATG